TCAACATATACAAACAAAACTTTTAAAAATATCACCCTCAAGAAGAGCACCCACTCCTGGCCAAACACCCACGCCGAATGGGAAGTCGTGTGAACAGTTGTAATGCAGTTCTCTCGATCAACTAGAGCAAAGCTAAATAATGATGAAATAAACATTAATTAGTATCTATTTTTTATCCAGCATGGTGAGGTATGGTCAAATAGCCCCCATGATCTGCACAGCAGTCGATTCATGTATTAAGCTTGTATCCCACAAAACCCCTCACTGAGTTGTCCGTTTTTCTTCAGGCAGGTCATGGATCGGTGATGGACAAATTCCCTTTTAAGTTGCGTTTGGCTCCGTGTGGGAGGAAACCGGGATACCTGGAGAAGCCCACGAGCGCCCGTAAGGGGATAACACGCTGAGACCCGCAGAGTCAGATTTACAAACCAATGTGCTGCGCCACCAACTCCTGGCCATCTTGCCGCCCGGTGGACTTTCGAGTTTCGCAAATCTCTGTGTGATCCATCAGCCCATTGCCTCTCCAAAGCGCTGGATCGGTGACGAGCGCCACGTCAAAGTGCGACAGGAGTGGTGGCGCTGCGCTAAGGAGCCGGCCACCCGAGTTGGATTCTCAGCCACGGTTAACATCAGTGGTGAGTGATATGTGAGCCAGTCTACTACCCGGCATGCCCTCACCGCTGAGTGGCCTGGTGAAGCATGTTCAAGCAACTTAAAACAACTGCCACACAGTGCCGGATGATTTTAGTAGCAAAAGTAGCTACAAGGGCCTCGCGCTAAATTCTTCAAAGCTATTAATTCCGGTTCAGTGATTATGCACTTGCTCCATTACTATAGTACTATACTGCCTTCAACTTTTACGAGCGACTGGGTGTCTAATGTTAGCGATCTGTCGTATTATCTGGCTGTATAGCAAATGAAAAAATACAATTACTTTATTATGCATGTAAAAAAATAGTGTTTTAATATGAACGTGTTTTATTTATTTATTCAGGGCCCCTTTATAACATATGCTATAGGCACCGTACTAGCTTATGTTGCCATGACCCGGCATGGCATATGTAGGCCTTCATCCAACAGTGGATTGGCTTCGATAGACTTAGATGATATTAATTTCAGCAGGAAGGACCCAATGAGCTGTTAGGATCTACTTCATGTGCGTCCTGCGACGATACAGATGTTATTACACATTACAGATCTGAGTTACAATCACGGTTACATAGGTTGCGATACAAATAGCAAGTGTCGGTTCACACTCTACGTTTTACAGGAATAGGGAAACCGGTTGAAAACGTAGAATCAAACATGACTGCACATTTCAAGGAACTAATTAATATCTCACAAATTATGCTGTGTACTGGTAATGGCAGAGTGAAAGTCAAGCCTCTTGATGTCACATCGCTCACTTTAAGCAAATACTGAGGGCATGTATACTATTAAAATTGGGGCATCCGGAGGAAAAAATAAACGTTGATATGCATGGAATCCATAATGTTTTTCATTAAGCGTTTCTTTCCATAAGTAAGTAGTGAACAGCATGGGAGCCGACTGGTGACGTTCAGGATACTGTCACTGTTGTTTGGGCATAGGCAGGAGTTTGCGGGGGGGGGGGGAGGGGACAATGCTCCCCTCCCACCTTTATTCGTTTATTTTCAGGAGTTTAAAATAAAAACATGATTTATTGAATGCTCCCACGATTCCTAATGTGAGGGACAAATCCAACCCCTGTCCCCGTCCCACCCCCCAAATGTAGAAGTCAAACTCCGCCTGTGGGTTTGTGTCACCAATGCTTCCGCAAGCCCCTTTTTTCTTTGCAATTTGGACCGATTGTTGTTTTCGGTGATACTGCCACCGTGGTGGTGCAACCAGTAGAAATAACAAAAAAGCACGCGGCACATTTGTCAATGGACACAGTGGCCTCAACAGAAAGATAAAATACGTAACAGGTGATGGTTCAGACAACGACCGTTCTTCATATTTACGTGCTCCAGAACTTTGGTTATTGACAAAAATGTTCGGTTATTTTCTTTTATCAATTTGGACAGTTTTCAGTGGGATTAATCTCCTGATGGGAACGCAACTTTACGTACAGCTTCGCTTCACGGGTTCGAACATCGTTTCGAGGGATGCCGTGAGCCTACGTTGCCGTGCAGAATGACAGACAGCCGGACAGAGCTGTAATACATTAGACACTTCACGTGACCTCACAGTGGATACAGCCTCTGCACAAGCGCTGTGATAATGGCGCTCTCACTCAGTCGCAAATGGCAGGGGATGTTGTTGTATGCATACGAGTGGGCGTGCGTGTGTGCATGTGTGTTTGGAGCTTTATTTTACCAGATGATTCGGTTTATCCGCACTGACATTGGCTATCGCTGTACCATTTACAATAGGCTGGCGTATGATGCCAGTCCCGTTTCAAAATCATACAACGGATAGGCGCGTGCAATTTGGAGAGAAACACCTAAAATAGCGACTGAGAAATAAAATAAAAATCTATTTGATATTCGCGCCATCCTTATAGCGCTGTTTCGCAGACAGCGTCTGAGGTAGTTTTGCAGATGGGGGTGATTTTGCTGAGCGGTTTCCTTTTTCAAGGTGAGTAATTTGCGAGAAACGTTTCCATACTTGGCAAAGTGGACCATGACACGGACACACGCTGCCTGCTCCTTTATAAAAAAAAATACGACGTCACGTGTTGTTCTTTAACGTCTACCGTGGAGCGGACGGCGCCTAGCTAATCACGCTTTAGCTCGCCTGCGGTATTAACCGGGGCGGCCGCGGGTCTCGAAACCTCCGAACCTCCACCACGAGACGCGACATTGGGGTTGGTGGCAGGGTGACTCTTCTCTGCACAGCCCCCGACCCTCCGAAAGAGAAGCGATGTTCTCCCGCGTGACGCTCCCTCGGGGCGGCGCGATGCCGCGGATGCGATGGCAGAGAAGCAATGCCGGATTATCCTGGTAGCAAAAGTAGCTGCTACACATGTAGTAGCTACAACACATGTAGTAGCTACATAAGTAGTAGCTACAACACACGTAGTAGCTACGGGCCCCGCACTTTCAAGGGCCCCGCGCTAAATGCTTTCAAGCCATCAATTCCGGTTCAATGATTCTGCACTTGCTCTATTACTATAGTACTATACTGCCTTCAACTTTTATGAACGACTTGGTGTTTAAAGTTAGCGATTTGTCGTACTATCTGCCTGCACAGCAAATAAAAAAACAATTACTTTATTATGCAAGTTTAAAAATGTGTGTTTGAATATGTATATATTTAGGGCCCCTTTATAACATAAGCTACAGGCCCCGCACTAACTAAATCCGGCACTGCAGCGAAGCACTGCTACTCCCTCGCAGTCTCGTGCAACATCTATCCCCTTAGCACGGGGAGTAGTAACACGACAGCCGTCGCGAGCAACGGCGAGGCGCGCGACAGCCTAGCCCTGTGAGTGCCGCGTTTGCACTTTGTGGTGTTTCAGAGGCGCCGGTAATTAGTGTAATTGCTAGTCCGTTCTGCTCGAATTTTCAATTAGATTCACGATTACAGTATTACAGCAATTGCGCCGATTCAGACGTCAGCCCTTTGAACGTTTTCATTAATTTCCTTTAATTCCGCGCCTATTTGGTTTCCCCCTTAGCAATTACAAACACAAAGTGATTGCACAGCAGCAACATTTTGGTAAAGCAAGTGGGGGTCGTTCGTTGCAAAATATTGGTTTAGGGAAATGCGCGCGCAGAGCATTGCACCGACACGTAACGCAGGTTCGAGTTCACCGATCGTGCAATACGAGGCATGGTGTGCGATTGCCCCAAAAACGTCGCTTATTTAAATACGTTTCCCCCCCCTGTCAAGGCCACAGTGCTATTGATGAATGTGTTGAGATTTGTATTCGGAGAGGGGTTAATTGTGCTCGGTGCACCACTGCCAAAGCAGCAGCAGCAGCAGCATCACCTAAGAATGCATCTAACATGTTTGCATCATTCATTCGATTTGTTTAAATGTAAGCTCATATAAGATAATAGAATGGAAACAAAGTGAAATATCAGTGATTAAATTGGGGCATATGTATATAAAGCTTGCAAGTACAATTATTTTACAATGGCAAACAGGACTATCTTGATACAGCCTAGAGACTCAAATATGTGTTCGTGGCTAAGATAACCCTGATTAACGTCATGTAATGAACGCTCGGGGCTTAATTTCAGCAGGCATCTGTACGGGTGTCGGGGCAATGTTCCCGCACTCGGCACACCACATCAAGTACACGTCTCGCTAGCTCCGAGTCACCTGCCTACCGCGCTCCAGTCCACCAGCGAACAACTAACATATTCAGTGAGAAATTAAGCCGTGCTAACACTTACATACGGCGTATATTAGTTAAAAATAAAACACAGCGACAAAGCAACGTACTGTACATTAAGTTTTCACTATTTCAGGATGTCAAAACTTTCTTGAATCCTCGTGTGTGTGTGTGCGCGCGTATTCTAAAGCATGCGTGTGCGTGTCCGTGTGCGTGTTTTGTCTTTTCTGGCCTCCGTTGTGCCGCCGCGCGTCTGTGCGCCGCGCGTGCCCGTGCGTACGTGCGTGATGCATTCACTATTGCCGAGCTTGCACTAAAAACCAATCGAATTTCTCTCTGCGGTAGGCTCGCGGGATAACTTAATTTAGCACTGGCACCGTCGCGCGCTCAGACGTCACTCCCCGATGCACGCGTACGGGGGGAGTCTCCGAGCGGATCAATTGCGCGTCGGGGACTGCGTCTCAAACGGGACAGGCACCCCACCCCCTCCACCCCCGCTCATTCCTCGCTCGCCCCCCCGACTCAAATTTGTGTTTAACCCCAGCGCACCCCCCCCCCCCGACCTCCTCCTCCAGCCCACACATGTTTTTTTTCTTCTTATAACCACCGCTCATTCTCCCCGAGCCGACTCCGCTCTCTGTCAACCCACTCCCTACTGACACGATCCAATCCATTCATGCGTCCAGTCCGCACTTACCGTTGCTGGTAGGAGCCCGGAGCGTGGCACGCCGGAGGGGCCCCCATCCCTCCGTTGGAGTGCCCCTCCGCTGGCTGCGGGCAATCAGCTTCGTCCGTGGGGCCCTCGCAAGCGAGCTCCGGGTAGAGCCTGAGCATCATCCCTCCGCAAGGTGCAGCAAAACAGGGCCCCCCACCCCCTCCACTGACACACAAACCGCCTCTCCTTTTATTATCACAAGAATAGCAAACGCGAAGCACCAGCCTCCCGTCTTGAAGCCGCTCTGCGCACAGCAAAGTTACGTGTCCCTGTGCATGGTATCTGTTCGGCGACAGTGCCCCTAGAACCCCGACCAGGTTGCTGCTGCTGCTGGGGTGGCTGCGAGGAAAGTTTTCGATGTTGTCTGTGACTTGTTACTTATTTTTCTCCATGCTGGTGTTCGTCTTCGCATTTACACGCCCGCCTTCTAAACTCGGGTCGCCCCTTATTGTCTCGCCATGTTCTTGTCAAAGCGCGTGAAGTTAGACCGGCCTCGTCACCACAAGCCCCCGCCGTTCTCTCCGTCCGCAAGTGTAGCGAAGGAACATCTACAACGTTCCTTGACAGAATGCCCCGTTAGAACATCGCTCCAAGAGCGTCGTCGGTCGCCGGGTCTCTCTTGCGAGCAGGGTCTATGCTCAGCGCATCGCGGTCGCAGCTTGCGTGCGCGCGTAATCCCGTGGGGATATATGAGCGCCTCTCTCTCTCACTTCCTCCTCCTCGCTCCGATCACGACTCGCACTTCAAAAAATATATAATGTTAATAATTCCAACAATCACCATTCAACGTGATATCGAGCACGCGCGCGCGCACACACACAGAGATACTACTGCTCCAAGCGATTCGAATAAAATGTGCTCGCTCACCGCAGAGCAAAATACGCGCAGCCGTCTGAAGAAGATGCTGCTGCTGCTGCTGCTGAAGATGCGACTGACGATGCTGCTGCTGATGATGATGATAATGATGACGTTCAAGAAGCGTCGCTTATCCCCTAAGCGTCACGCAGCACCGTCGGCTCTCGTCTTGGAAGTGCTCATGCCCGATGCGACAGAGTTGTGCGTTTTGCCGTCTCGGAGTGTGATGCTGTTTAGCTCTCTCTCTCTCATCTCGCCTCTCTCTCTCTCTCACGTCGTTCCCTCTCGTCTTCTTGAATGCGTTGCTAAGAGCGCATGGGCGACTGGTCTCTCGGTGCGTGTCTGCCTGTGTGTGTGTGCGTGCCAGGATGCTTTGCGCCGTTGCATACGCTAGCAAACCCGTCTTCTGCACCACCACCACCACACCACTCCCCCCCTCCCAACCTCACTCCATCTCCAACCTCTCCGCTCCCCTCCTCCCCACCACCACCCCGACACACACACACGCCGACACACATACACACACACCCACCCGACACACGCACACAGCACACCGCACCCCCTGAGAGACAATTGAGAGGCCGAGTGATTGTCAGGGCCAACGATGAATATGCGGGACAGCCTTGAAATTTCATCACCTTTATATATAATAGCGCGCAGTAACGCGCTTTGCAAATCGGTGACATCTGCAGAATAGTTAATTATTGCCGATATCATTAGTATTATCGTTGTTATTACGATGCAAACTATTTATCTTTGCAGATGAGGATGTCTGTGCGACCAGCATCTGGATGCTACTGAGCCCCCCCCCCCTCCATCTCCAACTTCTCCTGCTCAAGGCTCAGACCCCCTTCTAAATGTTTATAGTCAGGACAAACACATATCGCTAGCAGCATTGGTCGTGATTGTGCAATACACGTTAAAATGACTGCTCTGTCACACACACACTCTCTCTCTCGCTGATGTCATGCGAATCCGGCTTTTCATTCGCAAGCACCATTTGATCTACAAACTGTTCTCCATTGTTAGACGGGAGCTGGACTAAAATGCGAAAGAGATTGCTACAATGTATTTTACCAGGTAAGTCCCCACTGAGGTACAGTGTTCTTTTTTTCTAGAAGCGACCTGGCTATCTGAAATGGAAGCGGAATAAAGTAGCGTATCACGAGTAAATGTAGAGCATCCATCCAAATACTCTAAACGCGTCGTGTTGATTCTAAACGTGGACGGGGGAAACCCGTATGTCTCGGAGAAAGATACATGCGACCATAGGGAAAAGGTGCAAACTCCAAATATACAGGCGTCAGGGTTTGGGATCGAACCCACAAGCTCCTCCGTACCCGGCGATGTAGTTAATGTCTCGCCATCGTGGCACCTCACGTTAAGCAATGGCCTTAGCTCGTACACACAGGGGCCGAGAGAGCCAGAGCAAGACTGCACGCTGGACACAAGCACATCGCATCGTTTAATCATTCCGTTGGGCGTTCAACTTTAGTTTCAAGTTTGTTTAAAATTGACCGGGTAGTGTGCGTTTTTGTGCGCCCACCCCTTCAAACGAGGCCACGTCTATGGATTTGCAGCAGAGTGAAAGTCGTTTGGGATCTGACCACAGAACATGGTTGGACACGGACTGTAATGCAGTGTACATGTCTCTGTCGGCACGCACCGTATTCTCCAGATTATGAGATGCACTGCTTCCCCTCCTGTGTTGTGAAGCTCAAGAGATGGAGGCAGACTGGGGTTAAAATGCGGCAACCCGGCGAACTGGGTTCGATTCCCGCCCATGGCGAATATTTGAATCGGTCCTAGGCATCCACTAGGTCGACTCAGCCTCAAAATGGAGTGCCGTGGTGTGGTGTGTAAACATCGCAAATAGGGAGACAAAGGCGGCCGGGCGTGATACTGGCCACCCAAGCCCTCGTGTGCCGACCTTCATAGGCGCTCGCTAACAGCACTTGCCACAAAAGTATGTTAAAGCGCAATACGCACGTAGATATACCGTCCTGCTTTTGGGCGATAGATGCACTGCTACTTAGGGTCGGATTAAGCTAGTGCGGGGCCTGTAACATATGTTGTAAAGGGGCCCTAAATACAAACAAACATGAATATTAAAACACAATTTTTTGTACTTCCACAGTAAAGTAATTGCATGTTTTCATTTGCTATACAGCCAGATAATACAGTACTATATGTAGCTACTTCTGCTCCTAGGATAATCCGGCACTGCTGCCACTTGTAACTTATGCTGCTGTAATTCGGGCATGAAATGCCGTAGAATGGCGATACTCTGCTCAGATTAAATTCAAGGTTGAAATTAAATTTCAAAAGATTGTCAAAACTTGCGACTCGAACTGCGAGGTGCACACGCAACGCGTCTCCGGCGTTCAGTGCGCGATTTGCGCCACCTCGTGGCGTCTCTGGACGTTTACAGTTTACAGGAGAATCACTTGCAAGCTGATCGAAGCATCCAGATTTTACTGAATCTATACATGCCCAATGACATTAATACTGGTAGGAACCTCCTGGTTACACCAGCCCACAGGGGATTATTGTGTCCGTCCGTCCCGTCGTGCAGGGAGGGGCTGGGTGGGGAGGGGAGGGTGGGGAGGGTGGGGCTGGGTGGGGCTGGGTGAGGGGTGGGGCTGGGTGGGGATGGGCTGGTCACCCCGTGGTGCCCTTATAAAACTTAACGTTTAACCTACTCACGCCGGCTTGTGCCCGCCCTCACAGTCGGGCATATTTGCGGAATACACCACGCCGCCGTTGACCCTGGCCATTGACCGAGCAACCCAACGTTCCTACCAGCTCCCTCCGCAGGAATGTGTTAATAAGCGTGCCGTGTTCACGACAGTCCGTAAGTTGTTGTTGTGGCGAAACGGTTTTAAATGTTAGCTTCAGTCATGACTATAATACACTGGACACGGTGTCCGTATAGCTTTCCAAAGTTGAGCGTTCACACGAACACGACAAATACCAATTCAAATGTTTTACTTTTATATGGCATGCTAATACGCACAAACAGGGGTAGTGGAGCGGTGACACAGTGGTTAGCGCACTGCTGCACTGTGAACCTCCTTTAGTCATCACCTCAATTCGAATGCCGTCGACGGCTCAAATCGGAGGCAACGGATAAGCATGCCCAATGAGTCCCCGTAATCACGACCGGGGAAATGGGCCTACATCCAACAGTGATGTTGACAAGAGGAATGTGTGTACACAATTCTATATATATACATGTAATACAATATGGTAAAAGTGAAGCCCTGCAATTACCGTGAATTCTCACGCCACTGGCGGGGAAGGGTCTCCACTCGAGGGAGCGTTGTAAAGACGTTGGCCTACTCTTCCACGCAGGCCAGACGTCTCGGAAGTGATGTGTGCACTCATCGTGATGCTTCGCCATCGTTTAAACTTCCGCACCAGGAGCGCTAATAACCGGCGACCACCTCTATATTGCGCAATACTAGACTAATCTAAACAATACAAACATTCAATCCTTGGATACTCGACAGAGCAATGCATGGGGGGGGAGGGGTGCTATCCTACATTCGTATTAAGCTGCAGAGCTTGAGAATATATAAGATGAAATACACGCGGAGAAACTTCACACAAGAAATGCATAATGTTGGCATGCGGGCTAATGGATTAACGCTGCTCGGAAGACAAACGCATTTCTGCTTGGCTTCATTCAAATTAATATCCATTGGAGCCGTTGCTATTATTCATGATCCCTATTTTTTTTTAGGAAACGGATCTGTGTTGCTTTGGGGGGTTTGTCCAGCACACGCAAATACGCAGACACTGCGTCTCATAAATACTTAATGCTTAAATGAACAGACTTACAATTACTATCGTCCGTGGACAAACTCAAGTCAGCAACTATGGACCATTGCCTTATTTACTTTCTCATTTAAAAAAACAGAAAAGAGGGGGGGGGGGAGAGACGCGTGCAATTCCTAGAACCCATTTATGACTTGCGGCGGTGCACGGGAATATCTCTCTCTCGTTTTGTTAAATTGTTAATGACGCAATTTAAATGCACACATTACGTGCCTTGATTCCGCCTAACGAAGCACCTGCATGGCGTGGTTATCCTTAGCCAAAGCAATATTCTGCGCCGTATGCTCCAAACGTTGCCCTTCATTTATTCCGTGGCTGGCGCTCGGAGCGACGCGAGACGACGGAGGGAGGCATTTTCAGATGCCCCCCCCCCCTTTTTCTATCGCAAAAAAGGACAATTATAGCAACGCGTGCGTCACACGCTCAGCGTACAACGACAAAGGTGAAATATAACCCGCCTAGCCTCATAGGGACTGTCGGGGCAAGCGCTTTGAGCGGAACGGGACAAGACGAAGATCCCCCCGTTAAGCCTTGACGAGACTTTTTTTGGGGGGCACGTGCTGTCAGCGAGCACCTGTGAAGGCCGGGACGGCACGCGAGGGGGTGCACGGCCAATACCACCCACGGCCGCCTTTGTCTCCCCATTGTCAATGTTTGCACACCGCGCCGGATACTCATGTGGGGCTGAGTCGACCTAGGGGAGGTCTATTGGCCGGTTTCAGATAATCGTCATCGGTGTTGGTGGCCCTAATTGCGTATGCCTCAAAAGTACAGAAGATGCCTATTATTGCCCACAAACTTTGCTTTTGTGACCAGGACAGTGATATTTAGAAATGTACCTATTTGTAATGAGAAAACGTGGTGTGCATTTGTGTCATTCATTCACATAAAGTCCTGGTCACAAAAGCAAAGTTTGTGGGCAATAATAGGACATTTTCTATACTTTTGAGGCATAAGCAATTAGAAAATAACACTTACTGCCCAGGAACAAAAATCGTGTTACATGTGAATTATCAATAATCTAAGAGCGATGATGATGATGATGATATTGGATCATCTTTGACGATGTGTTTAAGTTCGTCGTCCTTCCCGCGCACCCTCAGATGAGCACGTTTGGCTACGTGCGGCGCGAAAAGAAGTCCAAACATACATTCGCACACATTCACTCCACTGCTGGATGAAGGCTTCCGCAAGCCATGCGACGCAACAATCCACGAGCCGCTTAGCGTCGTTCCATCTCCTCGGCGGCCGGTTGTCGTGAGCGCGCACAAAAAGCGTCCCCCCTTCCTCGGCTACTTCGGCGCGGTCAAAACACGCGTGGCTGATTGTTTGTGACCACGACAAACCCACCGCTGGATCATCCCCTCCCGCTTGTCTCAACTTCAGTCCGCGTATAACTTCCCCGACACATCAGCAACGCACGCACACACACGCATTGTCTAAAGAGCGCGCTCACTCCTCTTCATCAACAGATTTGGGGGTCAGTCCACGCGAC